ATATATGTATATGTATATATATATATATGTATATGTATATATATATAGACCAAGGTTTTTACAGAGAACATCTTGAAAAATATGAAGAACAAAATACAGATTTCCATTTATTAATGACACTTCTGCATTCATCTTATTTGGAGGAACTAGAACCACAAACACTGTTGTCTGCCATTGTAAAATAATATTCCCTGAGGCTCCTCCCCAATGCGTAAGATGCGTCAAAAGTGGACCAATAACAAGCAAGCATTCAAGATGGACGTTTTCCAGAACAAATTGGAACATTTTTCATCGGTGCTGTCAAAATCATCAGTCATTGATTAAATTCTGACACTGTCCATTCACAAAAGCATAAAACATCCTTCGGGGCCCCTGAAATGCCGGGGCCCCGGGCTGCAGCCCCTGTAAGCCCCTGCTAAAATCCGGCCCAGCCTTCAGGAGACACAGGAGGAGACACAGGAGGAGACACAGGAGGAGAGCCGGTGGTCTCTGGGGGGTGGCGGTGGAGGAGGTGCAGGGGAGGCTGTTCTGAGAGCCACACCGCCCCCTTCAGTCCACCCCGGGCTCTACAGGAACCCCTGGGACCGGACCAGACAGGTCCAGCTGCTGAGGGGGAACCTGAGCAGAACTTTAAACTGAAGTCGGACCCGGTCCTCCAGATCCACACCGGGTTTTGAAGACCCGGATCACGGTCTGTTCCTGCCAGATCTGCTGGACCTGGTGGACCTGGTTCCTAAAGACGGGCCCAGGACTGTTGAGTCCAAACAGGAAACGTCTCGTTGTCTGAACCGCAGCAGCTTCCTGTTCTGCTCCGGCCCAGAACCAAAGATCCGAACCAGAACTCATGAGAAACAGAACGGACGCTGGAGTTTTTATTCTCACAGTTTAATTTTAATTTACAGGAAAGTTTATCTTTTTACAAAAAAATTAATTAATTTTAAAAATCACATGATCTAAAAAATATAAAAGAAAACAACTAAAAAATAATTTATTTGTAAAACTTGAAAATGTTTTTATTAAAATAAACAATAATTAGTCAAACCTCTGTCTAATAATAAAATAAATTAATTTATTCATCTGCAGCAATAAAATGTTTTATTTTAACTTCACTGATAATTTATATGTTCATGAATCTGCAGTGACTTTATTTAATAAATGTATTGATTATTAATAATGTTTAATAATGATTAATAATCATTAATAATGACGTCTGTTGGAAGTTTTAAACTTTAATCAGGTTTAAATCTTTGCAGTTCCTGTTGGAGAACTTGACGGTTCGGGGTCGCAGTGACTGATGCAGGAAACCTGGGCCGGTGGTGCAGTGGGCGATACGGCTCAAATATTGTATCGTGATTTTTCAGAGCATTCTGACGATAACGATAAATTTCATGATATAACAAAAAAAAATCAGTTATTTGACAAAATTAACTTAACATGTTGCTTTGCAGTATTATATAAAAACTAAAAAAACAAAAGTTCATTTTACTGAAATTACTTTAGTAAAGTATTCAGTCTAAAAGTATAAAAATAAAAAAGATCCTTCAGGTATTTAGAATAAAAAAGTTTGCACAAAATATAGATCAATAAATCCACCACAAAAACTAAAGTGCACGTGAAGTTTCCCAAAATAACTAAATAAAATTAAGTTTAAGATCGGTTGAGCATAAATGTAACAAAATATGTTTCTTTAAATGAGCTGTAACTTCCTGAAGTTGAAACAAGGTGATCATGTGACCCTGAAGCTGGTGGAGTTTCATCTGGTCCTGCAGGAATCATTCATTTCTCTGATCACATGACTCTGTCTCTGATCACATGACTCTGTCTCTGATCACATGACT